AGATGAGGTCTGCATGCAGGATGATGTGAGCGAGGATGGCAGATGAGGTCTGCATGCAGGATGATGTGAGCGAGGATGGCAGCGATAGAAAGGAACTACATGTATATAGGTTGGAGCAAATATCTCCCGTCTCCCCCATCCCCCCAAATAAAATCAGGACAAAAAAGCAAATGACAACCGTGTGATTTCAAGGCCTCAAAGAATATGAGAGAAAAGTGCTATGAATAACGTAGAAATAAACAGAATTAATCTTTGAGTTTTGTGCCTATTATATCTGATACAAACAGCAATAGAGGAGATGTAGATATATTTTAAGTCAGTCTTAGACCATAATGTTGGGGACAGCCAGCACGGGGATAATGGCCGAGGTGCTGAGAACGGACGAGTGGCCTCAGGGGCTAGGGGTGCGACTTTCTGAGCTGCGTGGGTGAACTCGCACACACGAAAACTTTGGGGGGTACTCGTACTCCTGTATGGTGGCATCAGCTTATTAACAGAGGCCTGTAAGACCTTTTTGTTTTCATGTGGAGGACAGACTTCACTCAAATGATGCTATCCTTAGTTTAAGTGTTCCTGGAAAGATCAGGCCTCCTATCTGCCGTACTAAGTAAAGCAGGAATGGGGAAAAAAATGCTCTCAGCATCTCACATTTATTGTCATGTCCTCTAAAATGCAAGGCTACACTTTTTTTGGTAATATATATGTTTGTCCGTCAATTTATTGAACGGTTTGTTATAGATGTCGAAGTTCAGTAAATTTTATTCACATGCATTGGATATCCTAAAGATCAAAGAGCCGAATCCTCATTCTGGGGTAGCGAGCTGAAAAGTTCCTAGATTTTTGATGATGATGCATAATGATTCAGTCTACACTATTCATAGAGTCCACACCTGATGCCTCTCCAGCCCCTTCTATGTGATCTAATGCAGCAAATGCTGCCATTTACGAGCCTAAAAAATTTGATGAGAATGGAATTTGAGTAACAAATGGTACTTTGAATGTTAATTTGGGATAACAGTAAGAGAAAATTCTTTCAGGTAATTCATCAGTATTTCAATATTCAATCCTGGCTGAAATAAACAATACGAACAGATAGAGAAAAACAACTGAGATTGAAAAAAGACAAGTGAATGCTAATAGATGTAAAATAATCTTTTCCTATTTACTTTTTGTTTGGGACCAAAAATCTTACCGAGGCTTAAATGTTTTTAGCTGTAAAAACGTCACTTATGAGTTCGCACACTTGATTTCATGGATGTTAGATCAATTAGGCTAAATTACCTATAAGAGGAATATTGGGGGGATGTGTGTCACTCCATAGAAATACTTGCTTTATACTGTTAACTAGATGGTCTATACAAAGGGCTTCCTGGTTTGAGTTTGGCTTTGTTTTCGTGGTGCACTCTCCAATTTGTCTTTTGCATTTGATGCAAAGTATATTATAGCAAGTTTCACAAAAGTTCTTTTGATAAACTGTGCTTACTTGAAAATAATTTTATATAGTAGAGGATGCAGAAAAATAGATTTAATTCATACTCACTGTGGTGGTGTTGCTGGCAGGGAACGTCTAATAATTGAATGAACTTGTCTGTAAACGTCCAGTTTAGACATGCATCGGCAGGAAGTGTGATTGGCAAAACTGATTGTTACTGGTTTGGGGCCTTGAGAGAGAGGCACTGTAATTTCAAACAACTACAAAGAAGGGACAAAAAGAAGAAAAAATTATATAGGTGCTAGAAAGCATTTTTATGGTAAATGTCGGAGTCCAAAAAAAGTGAGATTAATTCTTTATGATAGGTAGTGCTTCGTGATATATGCAGGACGCAAAAGTTGTTTCATGATTACGACATAAAAACCGTTTTGCTTCAAATCAGTAAGTATCCTTTATCAGAATAATAAATAGTCCATATGCTTCTCTCGTGTCACTACTGTAAAGCATATTAGAATTTTGATAACCGGCTAATGATTATGGAGCAGAGATGCAAGGGACCAGGGTGTTCGGGGGAAAAAGCATTTTTTCAGAGTCCTCGATTATTCCAGGGGTTATTAAAAAGTGGCACAGATATAAATATCTTTGTTTCTATGAGAGTAAACAGCTGTTGGCCACACAACCTAGAGATCTTTGGTTAAGTCTTATTCTATGTAAACTGAATACAGAGACATAAAATACATAGATGTGAAATCGATTTTCATTCCAAACTAAATTTTCACCTCAAAGTAGTTTTACATTTGTACGAGATAATCTTATGAATTTATTAGGTTTAAAAGAAAATAAACACATTCATCACTTAGTAGATAAAGCTTTGTTTCTGCTCTTTTGTCACAGGCATTATGAAAATAATAAGCTTAAAATAAGGTAGGACATGATACGTGGTTGTGGGTTAGAGTCTGAAAATTTAAAGTCTCATTCCGAATGCCTTGTTTATGGGAACTTCAATTCATCTCTTCCTTCGCCAAAGTCAGTGTTTTAAGTTGAATTTACAAATAAATTAATGGTTAAGTAAAACTGAGTGGATTTAAATTCTTAAGTTTCTTAAATTCTAATTGACCAGGGGCTCCCGGGTGGCTCAGTCGGTTAAGCATCTGACTTCGGCTCAGGTCCTGATCTCACTGTTCCCGAGTTCGAGCCCCACGTCGAGCTCTGTGCTGACAGCTCTGAGCCTGGAGCCTGCTTCAGAATCTGTGTCTCCCTCTCTGTCTCTTCCTCTCCCCTGCTCGTGCTCTGTCTCTCTCTCTCAAAACTAAATAAACATTTAAAAAATTAAAAAAAATCTAACTTCTCAATAATCATGGTAAAAGTGAAGTCCTGGCCATTATGTGCTTGATAAGATCCGTCTGTAGTAATAGGACGATAGCTGAATGGCTTTGGTGTTACTGTCTTTCTGGCAATCTGAGCAGGGCTAAAAATGATGACAAACTCCAGAGCCTTGTGATCCGGCCCCTCACTGTCCTTCCAAGCCAACACTTGAAGATCATTGGAAATCTTCAGGGAATTGAATTAGTTGCCCATTTAGTCCTACAGGGAGATTTATGGACATGCAATTTGAAGGATGAAACACAGAGATACCTAAATTATAAAATGCACATTTTCTACATTTGAAATACATTTATTGTATAGTCATTGAAAAGTTCAGCTACTTTGTTAGCACAGGTGCTTTAGGAGGAAGGGGCACAAGGCCACACCCCAACAGGGCAGTTTTATTACCAACCCCACATGTAAGTTGTGTAAACTTGGAAAAGTCATTTAACTTATCTAAGTTGTATATTTCTTTAAAAATCAGTCAAGTTGAGGAAACATTTGACCCACTGTCCATGGGATGGTTATAAAAATGACATACGTTAACGTCAATGAGTGTGATATGCGTACTGATTGCTATATTTTTTATATTTTGCACATATTCTCAAGATTCTAGATCTCCTCCAGAATACTGCCCATGATACACAGATAAATCTCAACATATGACCTCAACATATCCCAGTATTATGGCTTTGACCAGTCACTTCTCTAAAAGGACATTTGTTTATGCAGATTGGAAGACACCTTTTACTAGGTGAAAGGTCACCCTGGTAGAAATCCTTTGCACTAGGTAAAACTATTTTAAGAGACAGACTTCTGCAGTGTCTATATATACTACAGTTTTTCTGCTTCTTATCGCATCTCTGGACCCTAGCATAGAACCAGTGGAACAGAAGAAATGTATGTTTCATAAAGTACTTATTCAATTTTTATATGCATAAAATTTAAAAATTATGTAAACCTTGTGTAATGGTAGAAATGGTAGGATGCACAGGCTGGCTGACAAAATCCTAAGAACTTGGGTCTACCAGGCAGTTGGATTTGTGTCTAGAGCCCGACAGACACTTCAAAGCCATCGATATGAAAGCCCTTCTTGACATCTTGGACCCCGATGAGATTACTTGGTGAGATCACTCTGAATGAAGGGGAAAATGTCTGACAGAAGCCTGGGGAACAGGTGCATCATGAAGGGGTGGAAAAGGCAAATAGTAACTATGTCTGGGAAGAAGAAGGAATGAAGACGCAGAGCCAGGAGGGCTTACTGGTAGACCAAGAGAAGCCAAAGGAAGACAGGAGAGCTTCAGAAAGGCGTGTGTGGTCACAGGGCCCGATGTCTTGGGGGAATGAAGCCTTAGGACAGGTCGACGGATGGGGTAGCAGAGCAGCTCTGGGCCCTGTGGGGGGTCGGGCTGTGGGACCGGAGCAGGGCGGGGCAGGGGGTGAAGACAGACCTCTCGGGATCAGAGGAAAAGCGCTCAGTGGGCTCAGGCCAGCAGTGTTTGCTTACAGAACGCATGGAATCACTTGGGGATCTGGCACTGTCTCCAGTGACAGGCAGCAGCCCGGGGGCCTGAGAGGGACGGAGGAGGTGCGGTTTGAGACCCTGCTGCTGTGCAAGCTTGCCTGATATTCCCCGCCCTCAGGGACTGCTACCTCCCAGAGGCCACCCTGGCAAGGTTTCCCAAGGGCAGAGAGAGATCTGTCCCCTCCAGCCACTGCTGGGGGGATGACGTCCACAGTCAGGAACCGCCCTGGAGTCCCAAGTGTACACTTAGGAACTGGGGCTTTGAAGAATGTTCTAGTGGGAGGGGAATACTCTTCTGCATTAAGAAAGCATCTTCCTGGAAAAAAAAAAAAAGCCTGGCTGTACACTTCCAAGGGGTGGAAGAGATTGGGGTCTGTGAACTCACTGACTAAAGGCACAAAGGGACAGGTAAACAGGCAGTAAGATAAAATCGCTGTTTAGAGAACTCTTTTTTCCTGTTAAGTATTACAACTACATTCATAAGTATTAAAAGTACAGTAGAACGTGAGAGAAAAATTTACTTGTGAAATAAATAAAACCCCCAAATTTTAATTACTTATGCTTCATTTCTCTTATTTGAGTCTAGCAGGCAACTGGGCAGCTGAATTCAGTTAATTTGGGTGAAAGGAGTAAATAGGCTGAAAAAATAAAGTAAAAAAAAAAAAAGTCCCTTCTCTTGAAACACATCTTCCGACTCCAAATTTTTACCTGAGTTTTTCAGATAGTTTTTTTAAATTTTGTACTTGAGTGTGTCAGTGTGGACAAAATTTAAGAGTCCAGAGAAAGATGCCTTGACCAATATTAAAAGGAGAAGGTTCTTGATAAATAAGTTTTATTCATCTATCAACTTCCCAAATATAGGAGAGCGTGCCGTATGTGTGTACATTCAGGCACAATGGTACCTATTGTGGCTCTTGTCATGTATTGAAGAGGCCTCTTTCATTTTCCAGTTTCTTCCTGCACTGGTCTTAAGTGTGTGGATTGACTGACTTTTCTCATTTAAAATGATTATAAGGTTTCCACCACCTGTTTAAGAAGTATGATAAATTCCATTTCCTTCCTTCCAGATCCGTTTGTAAATTTTATATAGCTATATTTAATCCCCACATTATGAAGAGTGTCCACAGGCCCTTTTCCCTAATCAGATAGTATGTGCTTTAGAAACGGTAAACTTGTTTGAACAACAACGAAAAATGAGTAATTTGAATCACTTATAAACTCACAGCCCCCCCAATCATTAAATGTAATTTCCAAATAACCAGCAACCTCTCTCCTTTACTAGCGTTAGAAGAGTAATCAAGAACCAAGTCTTAGAAACACAGACATTTGAGTCCTGCATCCGCAATTTACTATTTCCGTGACTTGGAAGAATTATCCCATTTCCCTTTGCCTCCATTTTGTTATCCATAAAATAGGGATAATACTGGTGGTGATGTCATAGCGGTGTTCTCTGAACAGTGGTTCTCCTTCAAAATTGATCTGAATCTTTGGTAGATGAATCCCAACGATTTGACATTTTACCTTGTTTAGTTTTCAGTAACTATTTATTGAGAACCAACAAGATGCCGAGTACCAAGTGCCATGACAACTTCTCATCAATCAGTGGCTCTTGCCCCATGCAACTCTCTCTCCGCTGCCCCCCCCTTCATACAGATACACACATATAATGATACCATGTTAGAATTTTTAAACTATCAAATCTTTTATCACAAATGCCGTTCATGAGCAAGAACCTGCAGTTTAACTCTTTTGAAATCTGTGCTTGACATTATATAAAGATCTAAACCAACACAGTCAGTATAATTTTCTCTCAAAAGAGTCAAGGTCTCTCCGGCACATCACTGTTGCAACAACATATAAATTCTTTATATTTCAATAAAACAACTATCCTCATACCGTTGTCAGACTGTTTTGTGCCTTAATGTGTGCACAACGGTATTCTCTACTTTATATTTAAGCTCACAGAGTGCAAAATTTATGTATTATGTTCAGCATTAGCTAACAATTCCATGTATATATGTATACTCAGTCAATCCTAATTGAGGATGATGACATTTATACTTGGATATTTTGAACGTGGTGATTTTCCTAAAATAGTTTTATGCTATAAAGTGAATTGTTCTTGAACAGTACATGATAATAGCTTGTAGCCAAGTTAGGATTTAAGGAGTAATATAATTCATAATGGACCCATACTATCTGCATATGTCTGTTTGAGGAGTTGCTGGTTTTAGAGATCAAAAGGGTTTATATAAAGATGGCATTTAAATAAGCCTGGACATTGGGGAAAAAAAAAAATCTGTGTATTCTGTAAAGCTGCAATAAAAAAGAGGAAACGCCAAGCATTTCCAGCTGAATGGTTCCCAGTTG